TATATATATATATATATACATATATGTATATATACTCGTACCACAATCCTTTCCATTGAAGAAACCCATAAATCATCTTACCATGTGGGTTTTGGCAGGAGGTGGATTATCAAGGCCAAAACAACAAGGTTCAATTGCAGCTTCTTCTCAAGAAGACTGTAAGACTGGTGAACTTCATACCTCATTAATTCCACCAGCACTATATTCTGCCCTACTGTGCTGCTACATTGTCATGTACATAAGGAAACATCTAAATGGAAATAAAGTAACCTTGAACCTTGAAGTGCTGATAAACTTTCTGATAATAACTCCCCCCCCCCTCCCCCCCCATAAATGTTACATTATAGCTACACCATGCGTATTCTAAATCTTTTCATTTGTTTATTAACAGTTATATAGAGCTGAGGAATGACACTGTGCAACCAGAACCAGTTCAGGTTCTTTAAACCATCTCAGTTGCTATGGACTTAACAGAAGCATGATTGGACTTTCCTGTTACTTTTGAAACCCATCCAAACTCATAAAGTAAATTTTACGACACTCCCAGCACTACAGCAAGATTGCCTTTTCTTCTCATTATGCCCCTCGACTTTGAACCAATATGTAAGCGGAAACTTTACTCCCAATTTTAAGTGGCATTTATCCAATATCCACCAATACAGCTGCCAGTGGAGAAGTTTCCAGTAGCTTTAAACAGTTTTAAATGTGATACTGACATATAAGCTGTATAGTTAAATGTTGATCTCATTAAGTGTGACTGCATGGACGCTCTTTTCACTGATTCTTTTTTTCCCACTACTGCTCCACTACATGCCTCACAGCCACAGTAATCTGAGATGCGCTGTCCTTCACAGTACTAGCACTTTAACTTTGTTTTCCTTTACACACAGCAGCAATGTGCCCTTAATATAATTTTGGCCCTTAAAACCTCTGGGGATGTATAATGTCTAAGTGCATAGCTCATATACTCTTCATTGCTTGTGCCCCCCCCCACACACGCACACCTTTAGCATTACAGCTAAACTGTCACATTAATCTCTATTTCCTCTTGTCTTTAAGCGCTGTGCCTTGGTTACCATAGAGACTGCTATATTTTCTTTGGTCTGCTCAGCTCTAACAGCTGTCGGCACACCAGAAATAAGTCCAAGGACAATCTTATTGTCCTCAGTCAATGTGCTTGTCAACTTTTGGCCTGTAATTTTTGCCTGATCTGATGACTGACCTTGTCCCTACAGATAATTATGAGTGTCTTACTTCTAATTTTCCTGGTGTTTTTGATGTCTACTACTCTATATATCACTTTGGCTCCTGACTCAGTTTAACAAGCACTTTACGCTGCTCATTTGGCGTCCCTCTTGTGACAATGGTTTGGTCATTATCACTTTTATCTGCATTCATTAACAGCTTTTTGCAGTTTTTCTGCTTAGTAAGCAGTGACTGAAAGCACAAACAACAGATTCTGCTAACCACCTCAAATGAAACAAATTTAATGTGTTTTTACGTAAACGAAATTAATTAATCAATCAATCACACATTTAAAGATGTGTAATTAATGATGCATCATTTACTATTTTAAATAATTAATGGCACATGACATAATGATCTATTTATTCATTTAATAATATTCATTTAATTTTGGCACTTTTGAGCCTCAACAGTGTAGCAGTTTGCACTATTTATTTTTGTAGTATTTTCTTGGAAATCATTGACGTGTCCACAAGAGTTCCAAAGTTGTCTTTAAACATGCTGCTGCTGACAATTTACAAGGTATTTACATTTTCAAAGACACTGTGGGATTAGGGAAGGGGGTGTGTGTTGAACTCTCTCACACTCTGTCTGACTCTGTCTTTATTTATAGTGGTGCAGAACTCAGGCCTTATAAGATAACTCTGCACCATCCCTTGTACGGAAGCGTAGAGCTGCCACCCAGGCAAAAGAAAAATACAACTGTATCACGTTATAACGTGAAAAGTTTATTGTTCTAACAAGATACTTTTCCTGTTTGTACAATATACTATCATGTTTGTACGATATACCTTTCACGTTTGAACAACATAATATCACGTTATTACAATATACATAATTATCACGTTCGTACAATATAAATATTATATTGTACGAATGTGAATGTGAATGTGCTGTACAATTAACAGTACCTTTGTTATTTGGCCTGCATGAGATTAAATTAGGCTTATGATATGTAATATATTTACATTACACTGATTTTCTATTAGTGTTTCTTTGATGCTATTAAAAAAAAGTTAGAGATGTCATATAAGACACTGATGGCCTTGCAGATATACTGAGTGGTTTAGTGACTCATGAAGCCTTTGATGGTGTGCACCCTGACAGTGTTTCATTAGAACGCGTGTAACAGGATCACTGAGGTATTTTTAAATGATATTTTATCAAATGCTTTCAATTCAATTCAATTCAATTCAATTCAAATTCTTTATTTTACCACAAGGGGAAATTAGTTTAGTTTAGCAGCAGGCAACATAAACGTAAACAAAACAATAATATAAAATAATAATGACAATAATAGTAATAGAAAGTCACAGGTCACGGTTATTTGCCATTAAGGAGATGGGATGCAGTAGGGATAAAAGAAACCTGGAGTCTTTGGTCTTCCTCAAAGGTACTCTAAAGCAGCGGCCAGAAGGCAACAACTCAAACTCACTGTGAAGTGGATGTTCAAGCAATTAACAATAGAAAGAGCCTTCCTAAGCACATTTTTGTTGTAAAGGGCCAAAAGTCCA